CTCAGACTTCAAACTCAAAAACAGACTCAAAGCCAAACACACCCACACTCAAGCTCACACCGTCAGCTGTGACACTAAAATGACCCCCCGCCGATGCCTGTGTGCTGACCTCAGCCCTAAACGGGCCCTTGACTGCACAGGGCCGGGCCATATCGCCACAGTCCTGGATTCCCATCCTGTTGTACCAGGCCTGGATAGCTGCCCCAAATGGCCCAGAACCTTGTCAGGCCGTGGTCTTTGGCTCTCCGGCTTCGCAACGCCTCTATGGACATGGCCGCCCTCAAACTCTCCAGGGCCCTTGCCCGTAGCAGTTGGAGAGTGATCACCCTGCCCTGTCGACACTGTTCATTTCAGAGGGTCCAAATGGCCCACAGTACCGCCGCACGTATCACCTCCAGAGCGTATAGCTCCCCCTTATCBTTCCTGTCCACCTTTACCAGGGCGCCCAACAAAATGTGTGCTGTGTCGTCCTCCGTAACGTAGAAGGGGGAGCTCTGCCCCACTTCTGCAGCCCACCACCGCCAGAACTGTTGGATGATCGGGCAGCTGACGAAGAGGTGGGGGATGGTTTCCACCTGGCCGCATCCTGCAGCAAATCGCTCATCTCGATAGTCACTTTTGCTAGCCTGCCACAGCGCGGTGGGGATCGCCAAGTGGTAAATGAGCCACAGCAGGCCTGCCTGCTTCTGGTTCGACAACGATTTCAGCACTGCACACTGTTCCCGCCATTCTCGCTGGCGCCACCGGTATAGGTATACCACGGGGAGCCACTCCCTTTTGGCCCACCGGTCCACCTGTCCTTCACGCATATCCAGCTAGGGTAGGAGAGAGCGGTACATGATCCTAGTGGTCACGTTGTCAGGCGGCCACAAACTGTGCGCCGCCTGAAATCTACGATTTTGGGATTTAGTCGCGAAGAGGAGTTTGAGTTTTGACGGTACTCTGGTTAGACCAGGCAGCGGAGATTAGGGGAGCTCAAGGCACCCTTGATTTTGGGCGTGCTGAACCTTACGGGTAACCCTCAAAGATGGCAAGATGGGTGGTCGCACTCGACACATCAACGGACCATCATTTCCGGCCGTTCAGAGGGTTGGACCCGGACTGGCCTGCTGCGGAGAGGCATCGCGGGATTTGACCTCGCAGCCACAATTTTTGCGGTATACGACCGGCGCCGAAATGAGGCCTCAAATTTTTGTCTATTTTAGTACCATAATTAAAGATGGGGAAAAGGGATTACGACCAGTAAGGGAGAAGGGAAAAACATAATATCCCTTAATTTCTTTATTTTTAACGGCATYAAATTCAAAGGGGAATACCCCTTTTATTTTATGTTCCCGGGAATGAAATTAAAAGCATAGAAAAAGATTATAAAGGGTAAAAGAGAAAAGAAACAAAAGGAATTCGGCCATTTAGTTAAACTTTCTCGGAATTTTATTTTAGGGATCTTACGGTTAATTTACTATTTCCAACAATAGGATTAAGGAAAGGGAAGAATGATGAAAATGATGAAAGGGACGGGAACCCATGATTATTAGGAGATTGGCCTAATTTCGCGTCGATTACCCGCCATTAGCTCTGACCCCGGATTGAACATTTTCCCCGGATTTTAACAGTTTTCACTACTGCCGATGGTCGAGGTTCCCTCCGTCGCTTTCCCTGGTTTGCTTGATTACTAACATCACCGCATTTGGAATGTTCTGAGAGCGGGGGTCGCATGGACAGCATGGGGTGGTGCTACCTTGGGTCGACTATGGTGTTTGATTCAGTACGGATACGAGGGTTGTTACGGAGTGGCTTCGTACTACGGTGTCTGGCGTGCTTCAGGTGCGGTATGGGCCCGGTGACAGTTGTTTCACTACGGTGGCTTATTTTCAAGTTTGGGACAAGTACGGTGATTTATTCTCAGGGCCKGGGCTACTACGACAGTTATTCCAGGTTTGGAACTTTGGCGGCAGTTTGYTTTYAGGTTCGGAAACGTTGCGGCATTGTAYATTTGGTTSGGTACAGGTTGGTGCTGCGACGGCATGCTGCGGCYTATTCAGGTTCTTTTCGAGGTTCGGAATTGATACGGTACGTTCATCAGTTCAAGATATCGACATTGTTCATCTGCAGCGTCCTGTCATATTTTTGTATTGATTCGATATGGATATCTGTCTGGTATTGGCATGGTTCATCGCGGCACGATACGGTTTTCCGCATTGGTATGGTACGATTCCTAGATCGGAACAGGCATGGTACAMTGGTTCGGGACAGGTACGGTACTGCCACGATCATTGTTGTATTATGCGACATTCGGCATAGAACTGGTTTGGTGAGGGTACAGGGGGGCTACAAAATTGAAGCTATTCATTCTGGTTMGGTGCTGGCTCTGCACATCCCAGACCGAGCCCTATTTCAAATCTTCCCGCACTGGCAGCACTGGTGTGACTCAATCCTAATTGGGAATCCGCTCTGGACCGGGTGTGTCTATCACGGATCCACTCGACAATTCGATGGAAAGGGACTGTACCTAGCGTGGTTGTCGTGGTTATCAGACTGCGTCAGACGCTCAACGAGCCTTTAATATGCCTCGACCAATTGAGGCACTGACCTACTGCAACCAAGCTTCCGAATTTAAAGGGGGCTCTGTTTACTCCTTGGGGGGGCCACGAGTTGGAGATCAGACCGTACGACTCGCCCGGGCTACTAGTTTCTCTAGGCCTGGGGTTTGCTTACGGCTGGTACCGGCGGTCCTGACTGTGTGGGCTACGAGGACGACGTTGACTGTATATAAAGGGACCAAAGCCCGAAGAAGGGGGGACTGCGAACAGGGTGTACGCAGCGCGACAGATCAGTCTGGCGGTGGTTGGTACCCGGAAGCACGACTGAGGAGAGGGAGGAAAGGCGTGCGCGGCGTACTCAATGTCGTACCGGAGTCCGATTGGGAGAGGAAAGCAGGTGGGTGAGCGGCGAGGCGGAAAAGAGGAGAACCAGACGGGGCAGGAAAGGGAATGCGCGAGGTGCACCCAGCCCACATCGCGACTAAACGCGGCAGGGACCACGAGCTGCAGATGGGGGAGGGTTGAACGGAAAACGGATGCGAGCCCATTGAAGGTGGTCTGAAACGGGCCGATGTGGGCGAGGGAGAACGGGGAAATGTGCTCGGTGTGTGCTGCGTCGCGCCGCGCCTGGGGTTGAAGTGATGTGATCAGAACAGCTCGGGTCGGACAGGGTCGCTGGGGGGGTAGGCATTCAAAGGAAGCATGTGTGGCGTCCCCAGCCCTCATACAAAAGGCCTGGTTGGCAGAAGGATTTGGGGGGGGGAAGGAACAATAGGGGAGTATGGAAAATGTGCTCAGCCCTCGCATGCGGGATGGTTGGGCTAGACAAAGGTAGGTCAGCAGCGACAGCGGGGGAGGATTCAGACTGGAGGGGCGTACCTGGAGTACACAGAGACCGGGCAAAGTGGCGGGGCTCGAGTGTATTGGTGGGTGGATATGAGTGGAGAGGGGAATTGGAAGAAGGAGCGCCAGGAGTTCGCAGTGTTCGCAAGTAAATGATGGCAACCATCCCCGTTGAGAGGGGGATAGGAGCCGCGCCAGGTGTACATGGCGATCCGTCTGCACGTGTGAKGGTATCTTGAAGAGAATGCAAGCTCTTGAAGAAGGGCCCACTGGGAGTGTGATCCGKCCGCCCGCGCTGAAGAGAGAACTAGAAGCACCCGCTGTAGGTGTGACCAGTCACTTACACTGATGAGGCATTCAAGGACCCCCACTGTGGGTGTGGTCCAGCTACTCGCACYAAAGAGAGAACCAGATACACCCGCTGTAGGAATGACCAGTCACTTACACTRAGGAGACAATCAATTATCCCCTCTGTTGGAGGGATCTACCGGTCTTGTAGATGAGATCACCCTACATTCCCGTTGTTGAAGGGGGGCAGACACTCTTTCTCACGAGACAATCAACGGTGAAGGAGTAAGTTTACTGCGCTTATATTCTTCTGAACGAATGCAATGAATGTGCTTAGTTGAATTCCTCATGGGGCAGTCTGTGTAAGCGGAGCATACAAGTTTATGATTGATTGTTGCTTGTTTGGCTGATGCTCCCCCTGAAAAGGGACATTAATTGTTGACTTACTCCGAAATTCCCCGAGCGCAGTGGAGGAAAACTCGCTGCTTCAGCGCCACCTTCGAATGATTCCCTTCCGCTCKAAGGGAAGGCAATGCACGACCGCTGCGATAGGCTGACACTAAAATTCAGTGGGCAATAAATGATAGTCTCATTTCATAAATATTCCAAGAACTGCGAAAGTGAAACACAGTGCTCAATCACCGGCAATCAAAAGAATCTCTTATGGCCCATGAGAGGACAGCATTACACAGCCTGTGACTGACTGCAGCCTGTGGCTGACTGGGACTTGATTGGTTGGTATTTTCCCTGAAAATGGTTATTAAAAGATTGCCTCAGCTGTGATCGCCTAACACTCAAACTCGTTTACATATTCCCTGGAAAAGATATTTATTGAATCACTTATTTCCAAAATATCCAGAAGTAAAGGGAAAACTATTTGCTAATTGGTGTTCGAGATTCACCCCTCTGGTCGCAAACGAGACCGGGCACACCTGAACCGTAACTGCAAATATTTGTGCTTGTAAGTGTTAAAGGTCGGCGAAATAGCAGAATACGAACCTTGTGAAGAGACGGTTACTTATATGTGTGTGAGAGAGAGAGAGAGAGAGAGAGAGAGAGAGAGAGAGAGAGTGAAAGAAAGAAAGTTAAGAAGAGAGGAATTGAAAAAGAGAGAGTGAAAGGGAGAGAGTGAAAGAGAGAGAGAAAGAGAGGGAAAGGGAGAGGCAGAAAAAAGAGGCAGAGGGGGAACTTGAGTTCGTTTCTGCATGAATAACCTTGGTGGCTAGATTCTGATTACCTGGGAGGTCAAGGAGGAGAGACGAGCGCACTTTGACTGATTGAGGCGATTGTAACAGTGTGGGTCGGGTGCGCGCGGTCAAACGGTTGT